ATATATATATATATATATATATATATATGTGTGTGTGTGTGTGTGTGTGTGTGTGTGTGTGTGTGTGTGTGTGTGTGTGTATGAGGTGAAGCAGTATAATGTTTGTCCGTATGTGTGGGTTACTACAACTGACTGTATTCTATGTAGACTAGGTTACATTTCTCATTCGTGTACATTTGCGGCTAGTCCGTCTTCAACGTTTAAAGTGTTTCATAATTTTATCCGCGTATGTGTACGGCATTTATTTTATCCGTGTCAATCAGTAACACGCTCAACCGATTAAAATGCACATATCAACCATATACAAAACCCAACAACAAATATTTGCATATTTTCGAACCAAAAGTAGAATCAAGATAATCACAGATTTCAGCTTATCCGACAATCCTTTTAATGAAACCATCCCCAACGAAGCCAGAAAAGATCGTGAGACACCCACAAAAGAGACTCGATTTCCAGCAACACTTGCATACAGATAGCACGATACAGAAAATAAAACAAAAGAGAAATATCCTGTGCCTCATCCCACCGTACAACAAAATATTCATTAGACTCATTAAAAAGCATCTAACACTTTCCTCAATAAAAACACCGAAAACAGGATGCAATTAGATAAAATCACAGTAGAAAAATAACCAAACAACCCACACAAATAAAATTTACCTCTAATTCTAGAGCAAAGAATGAATATCTCTTAAATTTCAACTGCTTTTAAAATGATATAATATACCAAGCCACTGTAAAATCAGAAGAAATGAAGGAAAATGTACATAGGAATAACTGAATAAACCTGGAAACTGATAACTTACGCACATAAAATATACTGTAGAAAGACCATCATTAAAAACGAAAAAATATCATGAGGACATTGAGAATAGATGCACTATATACATCGCGGATAATGTAATATTCATTAGACAAATAAAATACTTTAAACTAAACATATAATTAAAACAATTGCCAAAAAAAAAATAAATAAAAAAAAAATAAAATAATTAAGTACAGGATAAACAATAAAATACGAATGTACACATAAACACAAGTAAATATAATAATAATATTAATCGAAAAGTAATTAAGTAATCAATAATGGTTAATGAGTAAAAGATGAACAAACAATATTCTGAAATAGCTGCATATAATCTCATTTGGATGTCGAATTACTTCTAATGAATAGCGTCTCGAATAATTTCAAACATATCCGTCAACACGGAGGCAATAATTGTTAGGATAATACAATAAATATTGTTACCCATAATAATGACCAGCATTTATAAATAGTCGGGCCAAAACACAATAGACATTGCACAACAGTAACTCAAGCATGAAACAGACAGTCACTTCTCGATATTGATCTCAGTGTCCACCTTTATGCACACACACATATATATATATATATATATATATATATATATATATATATATATATATATATATATATATATATAGGGAGAGAGGCAGAAAACGCTCTTTGAGGCATGTCTGATTGAATGAATTACAAACATTATTTCTGCTAATTTCTAAGAAAATCCGTTCATAGTCACGAATAACTTTCCGTGTATTTGGTGTTAAAGTACGAGAAAAAATGTTCTATAGCTGTTTAAATTACTTTTATTTTAATTTCACAAGTACTTTCGATATATATATATATATATATATATATATATATATATATATATATATATATATATATTATTTTTATAAAAAATTATTATAATATAAAAGTTATAAAATCACTACAAAATAGCCATTTTGTTTCAACACCTCGGTCACTTGATAAGACACCGAGGGGGTTGAAACAAAATAGCAATTTTTGTAGTGATTTTATAACATATTTATGTTATAATTTTTTCATAAAAATAATTATATCTGCTCTACTTTGTATTGAGCAATCTTTTAAGAAAAGTAATTGTTGGTTATTGGAATTCATTCCGTATATATCAATTATATACTTGTATATATATATATATATATATATATATATATATATATATATATATTTCCTTTAGTTACTAACTGACTACTAACAAGCAGGATTTTTTTTTCGACTGATGATGGCCATGCTGGCTGAAACTAGTCGAAAAAAACTAAGTGAAATAAGAAAACAAAAAATATTAATGTACAACCCAGTGTGTCTCAAAATTTATTTTTTTAATTTTTCAATATTTTTATTGTTCAAAACATATATGCGTGTGCGTGTGTGTGTGTGTGTGTGTGTGTGTGTGTGTGTGTGTGTGTGTGTGCTCGTTAGGCAGCAATCATTTTGTCAAACAGTTTTCTTGATACAGACACGTTCAGTTTCTCCAAGTTTTATGTAGTTTTCCCATAATCAGACTAAGCAGTTTTATGTCAGAATTAATGTTGGTAAACATTCTAGATACGATTTTCTTAGCATCCGTTTATTTTCGATTGTCAAGAATTATCAAGAATTGCATGTTATTAGTAAGTTTCTTAAAATGTGTTTGCCAAATTCCAGCTGCTTTCGGTAGGCAAGAATTAAGTTTATGTCACGTAAATGTGACCACACCTCTAACGCCAAACCGCATTTATAAGTGAAATTTCATATGTACGCCCATACAGGATATCCTATAGAAGAAAAAAAAATAATCAGAAGACAACAGAAAATCCACAACATAGAAAAAGGAAACATTAACAAGAAATAGCAGACATACAACTACATATACAATAGAAATGTGCTACATGTCTAAAAGATCGAGACAGAGCTATATCTATCTATCTATCTATCTATCTATCTATCATTAAAACATTTTCTCTAAAAATCCACATGTAATGGAAGGAATTTAAATTTTAATAATTCTCTGAAATTATAAATATTACATATAAATATATATATACAAAAAAATAGATGTTTTCCCAAATCTTATTATTCTATCTTTTACTGTCTCTATCATGCTGTTGGTGTCTCTGTGTCTCTTACTCTCTATATATATATATATATATATATATATATATATATATATATATATATATATATATATAAATATATATATATATAAAAAAGGATGTACAAATATGTGTATCTATAAAAGTATGTGTGTGTGTGTGTGTGTGTGTGTGTGTGTGTGTGTGTGTGTAACGAATGCACGGCCGCAATTTTCGACGGATTTGCACCAAAATTTACATGTACATGCTTCAAGTTAGAGGGAAGGCCAAGACCGACATTGCATTTCCCAACTATCTATTGATAGTGGAAATAATCGATTTTTTTATTCTTTTTTTACTGCAGTTTTTATGTAGTTTGTGGCCATTTTCTACTGGCCAGAGTGAGAGCCTATGGCTGTCTGCCAAGAATAGGCAGGAAGATTCTTTTGCGTGAGAGCCAACAGCTGACTGACACGAATGTTAACTAGCATGCTAGCATGCAAAAAATCGATAGCTGTATTCGTCACAAGTGGGAAAAATTTAAATCTGCATGGCACTTTACTCCAATTGGCTCATTCGCTTGCTTAAACTCAACGTTGATTCTAATTCCGCAGAACTGGGTCGGGTATTTGCTGTTAACATTCTTTTTTCATTCGGTTTTTCCAGTTACGAGTCCTTTTTTAAAGCGTATCTTTTTGTGTTCATTTTCTTCATTTTTTTTTTTTCGTAACAGATTTAATGTTTAGTATAGAGCTTATAAAAAATTCGCAGTGTGAGATAGACAAGAAGTAAGGCATGTACCAACATCATCACGGCAAAGGGCACACCTTTAAAGGCAAGGAAATGCAAAAATATTTTAAGTCAAATGATAGCGATTGCTGTATGAGTCGTACGATTTTTGAATCAAGTACGGGCAACGCCATGCTGCATAATATATATATATATATATATATATATATATATATATATATATATATATATATATATGTAACTGTTTCCAATAATTTCACTGCATCCACATTTAATTTAAACTGTAACAATAGCATCAATCTCGACATTTTATAACCAGACCTCATGTATATATATATATATATATATATATATATATATATATATATATATATATGCGTAGCTGAGTGTGTAGATCCTTCGCTTTGTGACCATGAGACCCGAGTTTGAATGTCAGCATTGTCGATTTGTTAGGAGGGTGATTTCTTTGAAAAGTGCTGAAAAACATACCACGAAGTGATTTTGTGAGTGAAATTGGGTAGACGGAACTCACTGGGTACGTTGGTAGCTGTACGAAGCCACAAGTCATTGCGGCTGAGGGCGTGAGCGTGCTGCATTTGTTCCAATTTTTCAAAACACACTCTCTCCCAGAAACTGTAACTAAGGTCAGCTCAGCACAGTTGCAGTATAAACCACAGATTGCATGTGTGGGTGTGGAGCAAACCCAAATATATCTGAGCGAGCGTCTGCAATAGGGATTAGCTAGCCGCCTTACAAACATACATACACGTAGCATTATCTACAGTTTTAATACATGTGATACATAACTGACCAATGAGAATCGATCCAAACAAAATTGAATATACCAAAATTCTGTCCTTTTGCCTGTATTATCTCAATCTCAAACGAAGCTTTAATAAAAGTGATACATGTTGGATTAATAAATCTTTCCTATTTGTTATTTATCTTATCATACTCTCGGATTCCGATCCATATTTGATCTGTATTGAATCTTTAACTCTTTGATTTGCATTGCAAATAATAGTTTCTATATTTTCTTCTATCTCACCATTTACATCAGGGTGCACCGTAATTCGCTGCTTGGATCTGTGTTTTGAAAACTGTTTATATTCGGAGTTTGGAAATAAACATAAAAATATTGATCTGAAAGAAGAAAAAATAACAGTAAATATTACGATGCTAGTCATACTAACTTGTAGAACACGGAATATATTATAGACAAACTATATATATATATATATATATATATATATATATATATATATATATATATATATATATGTATGTATGTATATCAGTATCCTTTGACTTTGAATGCATAAGTAGATCTGTCCGGTAATATAACTGCTTCAATATTTTCTGTGCAT